ACCAATACAAGACACTCACACCACTAAATATTTCATTAACGGGGAAAGGTAATTTCCTTAATTTAATTCCTAACACAGTCATACAGCACTTAGCTTTCTTAATGAACATGTTCCTCATACCCCAGGGAATTTTGAAAACCTCTCAATTCAATTATTAAAATGTTCAGTGATACACAATTAGACTGACTTCTTGTTCTTCACCCCAAGAATAAATAATATATTAGAGCAAGCCAGGGATGCAAGATGAAGGGGGTTAATTGGTAGCCAGTTGAAAGTGCTTACGTGGACATCAAAACAATGAACTAGCTGCTTTTTGTTTTCATAAATAATACAAAATATTTCAAGAATCAAGCAAATTTGTACAAAATACAGGACATGTGACTGGAAAATACTGAATAGTTAAATAGGCAATTAGCAAATGAATAAATTATTTTAGTATTTCAGGCAATCTCTCTCTGCCTCTCTGTCTCTCTCTGCCTCTGCCTCTCTCTCTGCCTCTCTGTCTCTCTCTGCCTCTGTCTCTCTCTCTGCCTCTCTGTCTCTCTCTGCCTCTGCCTCTCTCTCTGCCTCTCTGTCTCTCTCTGCCTCTGTCTCTCTCTGCCTCTGCCTCTCTCTCTTATTCAAAAGGCTGTGCCTTGAGGAGGGATTGCTAAGAATGAAAATTGTTTCTATATTTCACACGGATGTTTGAAATTCATAAATCTTGATTTCATATCAGAAAAACAAGACACCATTATTTTCGTAGAGAAATACCTGTGATGAAGGCTTACCACAGAACCCTGGTGGCGCAGTGGTTAAGAGCTACAGCTGCTAATCAAAAGATCGGCAGTTCAAATCCACCAGCTGCTCCTTGGAAACCCTGTGAGGCAGTTCTACTCTGTCCTATAGGCTCACAAGGAGTCAGAATTGACTTGATGGCAATGGTTTTTTTTCGTTTGTTTGTTTGTTTTTTTAAAGGTTTACCACATATCATTAAAAAATCATTTAGCTATTGGAATCTGAGTATACGCTGAAGGATAATGGTGAGTTTTGCTGTGTGTCTAGATTAACTATTAATAGTTCAAAGAATTTACAATCTTTCAGCTGTAGCCAGATACTTTTAACAAGAACATATTCTAATTAAGCAGAAAAACAGTTGTTTTGAGTTATGCCCAGTACCAATAAATATGACACATTTTTCTCCATTGTGTTATAAGAGAAAAATAAAAGCAATTCCATGATAAAAACCTGTGTTACTAGTGTAACTCTTAAATGAGAAAAGAAAAAGATTTTCTATAAAGAGAGAAAAGGTTGCTTTGTGTCAGCTTCAGGACCAATTCTGAACAGACTGCTTTCCTTGGTAAAGTAAGTTTTGGTCCAGACAGTTTGTTTGGTTTCTAGAATCTGGAAGTTTAGGGACAATCCACAAATATCCTCAACTGTGTTTTCCCTTTTGTTATTCTCTTAACATAGCTCCTACATAAAACCATCCTTTGAGGAGGGAGATAACCCTGTGGTCCTGGGTATACCCACCCAGGACAGACACACCTAAGCATCTTCCTCCATAATCTTGATTGGTTTCATCCTCCTTGGGATCTTTATTATTATTTTATTATCATGATTACCTCTAAGGGTTTGAGGGGACATCCTTGAATTGAATTAATTGTCTTCCTCTTTCCTGGCTCATGATTTCTTGAAGATTACTGTGACCCTCAGACCCGTTGGCTCTCCAAACAGACGTTTTGTGTTGTTAAGATAAACGCTAACATCATTGTTAAAATGAATGCATCTTGTAAACCCCCACAGACAACCCTAGCACAGCCTTCCCATAAACACATTAGCTATTTATTACCAATGTGTCCAGTTTCTTATCTAAAATTTTCTATTTAGTTGGAAGATTTGAATGATTGAATAACCAATAAATGTGACAGACAATAATTAAGTTGAGTACTAGTTTTGAACTTATTTTTATTAGGTTAATCACATGAAATTGCCATATGTAAAGTAAAAATTGCCCGGTATCAGCCATTTTATATGTTTCAACCTAATAGTTTCTCTTTAACATGAAAGAGGTGGAGTTGTGATTGAACACTTGGGCTCAGGAGTCAAACAGACAAGGCATCAAATTATAGCCCTGTCATTTACAAGCTTTTTGAGAGTGTGGGTCATTTATTTTGTTTGGTGTCAATTTCTTCATCTGAAAATTGGGGATATTAATAGCCTGCACTGCATTAAATTTTATGAAGATTAATGGGATTGATGCATGCAGAGTACTTGTTGCAGAGTATGGAAGGATCTAGCTTACTGGGAAAACGGAGAAGCATAGACCACTTTCGGTTTTAGAAGTCCAGAGTGGGATGGTAGTCAGGATGTGAGAAGAAGGAAGAGGAAGCTCTAGGGGATTACTATCGCCCCACAAAAGGGAAACACCTTTGTCTTCCATCTGAATGGTGGCAGCAGCGTGTGGGAGATAAACATGTGCCTTTTGTGGGTGTGAGGTGGTGGGTCCATTCTAACTTCTGTTTAAAATTAATCAGCCTGGCATTGATTATTCAAACGCTTTGTTTCTTGCCATTTTTGAACCACAAACAAAATTATTATTATTTTTAGACCTTCTTCTTTCTAAAAATAGAAAAGAGCTGCACTTCCGAAAAGAAACTGTCATGAATTCTTCGACTTTGGTTCAAAGTGTCGTTTAAATCAAATGGACTGTAGAGGTAGCCAAGAATCAAAGCATGTGCTTTTGGAATCAAAGGATGTATTTTTAAACTCTGGACCCCTTTCCTTACTAGTTCTGTGACCTTGGGGAAGTTAATTAGCCTCTCTCTGCCTCAGTATTCTAATACGTAAAATGAGAACATTTGAAAAATAATAAAAACCTCAGAGGATTGTTACAAGCATTCAATGTATAAAATACCATAAGCACTCAACAAATCATAGAGACATTATTTCATATGAATAAGCATATGTATCCTACATTGATATTAATATACACATAAATACATATGTATTTCATGCGTGAATGTACTTGTAAGTATACATACATAGATGTGTGTGTGTGTATATATATATATATGTGTATATATATATGTATCCAAAAAAAAAAAAAAAACCAAGCCCGTTTGCCATCAAGTAGATTCTGACTCATAGCCACCCTATAGGACAGAGTTGCTCCATAGGGTTTCCAAGGAGCAGCTGGTGGATTTGAACTTTCAACCTTTTGGTTAGCAGCTGAGCTCTTAACCGCTGGGCCAGCAGGGCTCCTAAATATATGTATATGTGTATCTATTTAATTTATATACTTTTACGTTTCTGCAGTGTTAGGCTATCGGATATTGGGGGAAGGGGGAGTGCTTGGCTGTAATAGGGTTTTTTTGGCCACTGCCTATCACTGCTAACTAAATGTTAAACTTTTATGGCGTTCGCATTGGATCTCTACTACCTGCACGATTAGGGACTTTCTCAGCATAATCCCTATGCTTCACATAAAGCAGAACCGAGTGTTTGCTTGACTATATATCGAATAAAACCGGCAGGAAAAGCCAGGTGTGCTTTCCTGTCTGAAATGGTGTTGACGTGCTTCCAGGTGCCACTCAGAGCAGTGACGGGGATGTATGAATTGCCATCTACCCACGTTATCTTAGACAGCACCTCGCTCCCTAATCCCCAGCCACCTGATGCATTTTTTATGTCTCTTGGTTTTAATTACAGAAAATAAAACGAGAAATGCCTGAAGCTTCAGTATGCTTTGCCCTAGCACACAGAACACAGATACAGGTTTTCTTCCAAAATTTCAGTTTTGTGTTGCTGTTGTTAGGTGCCATCGACTTGCTTCCAACTCCTAGCGACCCTAGGTCCAACAGAACGAAACACTGCCCAGCGCTACACCATCCTCCCAGTCATTGCTATGTTTGAGCCCATTGTCCAGCCACTGTGTCAGTCCATCCTGTTGGGGGCTCTTCCTCTTTTTTGCTGACATTTTACTTTACCAATCATGATGTCCTTTTCCAGGGACTGGTCCCTCCTGATAACATGTCCAAAGTACATGAGATGAAGCCTCTTCATCCTCAGTTCTAAGGAGCATTCTGGCTGTACTTCTTCCAATACAGAGTTGTTTGTTCTTCTGTCTGTTCATGGTATAGTCAATATTCTTCGCCGACACCATAACTCCAATGCATCAATTCTTCTTCAGTCTTCCTTATTCACTGTCCAGCTTTTGCATGTATATGAGATGATTGAAAACATCACAGCTTGAGTCAGGTACACTGAAGTCCTCAAAGTGACATCTTTACTTTTGAATACTTTAGAGAGGTCTATTGCAGCAGATTTGCCCAATGAAATACATCGTTTGATGTCTTGACTGCTGCTTCCATGGGTGTTGATTATGGATCCAAGTAAAATGAAATCCTTGATTTCATTATTTCAATATTTTCTCTGTTTATCATGAAGTCACTTAGTGGTCTAGTTGTAAGGATTTTTGTTTTCTTTATGTTGAGGTGTAATCCATACTGTAGGCTGTAGTCTTCGATCTTTATCAGTAAGTGCTTTAAGTCCTCTTCACTTTTAGCAAGCAATGTTGTGTCATCTGCATATCGCAGGTCATTAATGTGTCTATGTCTTGTGAAAACTTGTGGCGGTCAGTTTTCTACCCCACTCTGAAGTTGTTGGTAACAGCTGTTTAGTTATTATAAGGTCAGTATAGAATTCACCAAAAATTGTGACTGTAAACAATAAAGCAGAAAAAGCAGTTGTTTACCCAACATAAAACAGTGCTTTCATTTTCTTTTAAATATGCAAATATATGTGAAAATAAGGAAGGCTGTTCCGTTGTTTTGATGGTGAACAAAATAATTTCAGCTGTAGTCTTTTCTAAAATCTGTCTGCCAAATGCATTTTCTGGGAAATGGGCAATTTGTTTTGTGCTGGCACTTCACAAGAAGTCCCTCTATTTGTATATCTGACTGGGAGGTTTGACTGAATAAATTAGTCCTAGACTTTTGAATTCTTCATGCAGATTGCATGATATGCAAATTAGCCTGCACTAACTCCATCCAGCTGCACAGCACTGGGTCAGAAGCTGCATCAAGTTGCTTGCTGAGTTTCTGGCAAGGGATCAGGGCCCTCCGACAGAATGGTAAGTTATAAAGTGATTCATGTCACTCAGGTATTTATAAGGTATTCTTGTTGGGAGTTCTTTTAAAGATGTCCTGTGATCTATTTAGGCTTTAAATAATGTTTAAACAGTCTCTCATGAGTAGATGCAAAACAGCAAAAGAAACTAAAAGTCATAATGTTGACCTCTACATTAATTTTTACCAAATTAAATGACTGTTTTATTTCCAAATCCTAATGTCACTTTATTAAAAAGGTTTATTATACTTGCTAATGTCTCAGTAAGTTGTAATTCAGTCAAACAGTTATTGGATTATTCACTTAAAACATAACAATTTTGGAAAAAAGAATTGGAGTCTTAAATGATATGAAACAATCTGCTATCATATATAATATTTTCATGTTTAGGAAGCAATGTCTTATGGGGAATTTTTTAAGCATTCTAAAAATTAAATTTAGCAATTATGTTTGTAAAAATGACAATATTTAAGAACATAATTCAAAAGAAAATGGAAAATTTCAGAAACCACTGTTATTCTGCCTTTCAAAACTCTTGATAATTTGTGAAGTACTCTTAAGGAAATTAGTATTCCCAATTTGATACGATACTATCACTTTAATACCTTGATTTCTATTGTAGTTTATGGAATATGCAAAAAATGAAGTCATCAATATTAAATTATTTTATGTTTTCAGTGTAATATATATTTTCACTCAAATTGTTCAATAATGAAAAAAGTATTTAAAAAAAAATCCTCATACTACTGTGTGAATTTGCCTAAAGGTAGCAGTTAAACATAACAATGTTGTGAATGTTCTTTGTTTAATCATGATAGTTAGGGGGAAAAACAGTTTTCATAGCTAAGAATCTAACAAATACATTTCATAAAATTATTTAAAATTTCAAAAATATACATTTTTAAAATGCTGAATACAACTAAAGAAAACATTATTCCAAATTAAAAATAAGAATTACTAACATGCTTATGGGGCTAAATTGGATATAGTCTAGTTTAATAATTCTAAGAGGTTGAAATATATTTTTGAACAGAGAACTAAAGATTTCACTTTCATTGACAATATCTCAGAGATTCTGTTAAAAATAATCCTTCCAAACCAACTATACCCTACTTATCACTATTTCTACTTTCTAAATTTAAGAAGTCAACAACTAGAAAAGGGAAGTGAGAATATTAAAGTTTCATAAGGGACAATTCCCATTCAATTGGGAGTTCTGCCTAAAGAAAAGGGTCAGTTTACTTCATCAACGTTTCGATTGTGATGACCACAGTAAAAAAAAATACTCAGGAAAATCTCCATTCAGTTTGGACTCAACACCCTCAAAATAGTGGGTCCTGGTGAGGTTAAATTGGACAGCCTGCCTCTATAAAACCATCATTTATAAACATGAACTTGGAAAAATTCCTTTGAGAGTGAGGCCAATTTATCAGAGAAGCAAATTATAAAACATCGTAAAAAGCCTAGTCTCACTGTGAAAATAAATTTAAACAAATATTAAAGTCTAAGAGGGTATCCAAATAGTATATGTGATTGGTTTTACAATTTTTATTTCTTCTTTTTGCCTATTTGCATTTTCTGAGTGTTACACAATTAACATATGTTTTGTATATACATTTTTAAAGGTTGTTTTTTTTTTTAAAAGAATGAACCAACTACTTTGTGAGAAGCAAAGATAACTCTTCAGTCATTCATTTGTCCTAAACGCAACCTGGTATTTTTTTCCCTCCACCGCCTCCGTTAATATCCAACCCCCTTTGACTACTTAAAAACAGGATTTCCCATGGCTTCTAGATGGCTGTTAACTTGCTTGAGTAGTTGTCATTAGTAATCTGCCTTCTAGTTTCGTATGTCTTCATGGCTAGATTTTCCTTCCATGGCAGGCAAGCCTCTCTGCTACAATAACCCACATTAAACACTTTTAAGTTCTGGTTAGGCAGAAAGATCAGTATTATGATTTAAAAAAAAAAAAAAAAAAGGAGAAATTCAGAAATGAAACAAACGTGAGTGAAAGAAATTTTCTATCATCTTAATTTTAATTTGAGTGTGTGTACCAGCTTTTTGAGTACCCAAAAAATAACAATGAAAGGCTCAAAACTGAGCCTTGAGGAACACCAACATTTAAAGCTTGGGCCAGAAAAGATTAGGCCATGAAAGAGTCTGCAAAGACAGAAAGAAGGAAAACAGAGAGATTGGCATGTCACAGAAGTAAAAAAAAAAAAAACAAGTATTTCCAGAAGTCACAGAATTGTGAAAAATATCCATTGGCCTTTTTTTGATAGAATTTCTAAGAATTTTAAATTTTTAATATGTCATAATACTCATAATGCTCATTTTAGGGAAAAAATATAGAAAATTGAGGTTAAACTGAATGGAGAAGGGCACAATAAAAGTTACTTGGATTCTCACCACTAGGGATAAAACTACTAACATTTTGGTACGTGTCCTTCTAGACTTTATTTTATGTGTATTAATTCCAAATTAAATTAATTAAATGCCTTAATTCTCTTTGAAATTGATCCTAAAATATAGATATTAAATTTTACCCAATACAAATGTGTTTCTAAAGCCTCCTCTACTACCGTTGCCAATTTTGAATGTCTATCATAGTATAAATAGTATCAGCTTTTATAGTGAAATAGAGCAATGGACTTAGATTGGCCAACTAGCGATTTCTTTGACCTTGGAGAAAATATTTATAAAAATGCTTTGTAAACATTCCAGTGTTTATATTCATCTGTTCACTCAACAGCCAATTACAGAGTACCTGTTATATGCTGGGCACTATGCCAAGTGCAGAAGATAAACAATGAGTAAGATAACGTTGTGATAAATGCTAAGAAGAAGTTCAGTATAGAATGAAAGCATAACATGGTAGACTGGCGGGTCAGAGAATCTACCTTGGGAAACCCACACTGAGACAGAGGGCTGACGGATGTGCAGATGTAGACAAGGCAAGTGATGCGGGAGGAAGCAGAGTGGGGAAAGGGCAGTGAAAAGAACTTCGGACGAAGGGAACTGCATGTTAGGAAGGTTCTCTATACATAAAAAAACAGGAAGCAAGAAAGATGAGCAAGGAGGAGAGTGATGCTAGGTGATGGTGAGGTTGTATATAGGGGTCAGATCATGCAGGACTTTAAGTCCCCATTAAGGATTTTGGGCTTCATTCCTTGGACCATGGGAAGCCATTAAAGGATTTGATAAAGGTGAGTAATATGGTTAGATTTTTGGTTGTAGTTTTTCAAGATCTTTTGGCTATATTGTCAAAGATAGATTGAATGGGAGCCAGAGAAGATGTGAGTAGACCTTGGAGGATATGGCATTATCCAAATAGAGAAGATGGTAGCCTGAATTAGCATGGTGATGAAGGAGATGGAACAACAGTGACAGGTTTGATAAATTTCTAGACATTATACAATAAGATTTGGTAGTTTATTAGTCACTGGAGGTGAGTTATACATGACATCAAAGATATGGCTTAATTTTCTGGGATGTGCACCTGGGGAGATGGCATTACTATTTATTGAGATAGAGAATAGTGCAGATGGAAGCGCAGCAGGATTGGAAAGAAAGTTCGATAGTTTAGTTTGGGATTTCTGGAGGGAAAGGTGCCTGAGAGATATCAATCACTGGCAATATGTATGAACAACTAGAGCATATAAAACATGTCTGGGCTGGGATACAAATCTGGGAGTTGTTGGTATATGCATGAAATGGCATAAGCTCACCCAAGCAGCAAGTCCAAAGAAAGATTGTGCCCAGAACTGAGCACTGAGGAATTCAACATTTAAAGCTTGAGACAAGAACGCTTATGCCCCAGAAGAACAAAACTTAAATTCTTAAATGTCCAGACTTACCGGTCCTGTTGAGACTAGAGGACTCCCTTAGTCTATCTCCTTAAGATATTCCTTAAACCTTGAACCAAAACTATCCCCTGAGGTCACCTTTTAGTGAAAGAGCAGATTGGTACACAAAATAAAGAATATTACCCGTGAGTATGGTGCTTCGTTAAAAAACATCTATATGACAACATAAGGTCAATAATTACTCTAAAGCAAAGACGAGAAGATAAGGGGGAAGGGAAATTGGAGTATTGGAAATGGAAAAACCAGAACACAATTGAAGAGAATGTTGACACATTGTGAAAAATGTAACTAATGTCAGTGAACAATTTTCTAGAAATTGTCCAATGGGAACCGAAATTGCTGTACATACTTTCACTGAAAAGAATAAAATATTATTTTTAAAAAAGTAGTTAAATAAAACAAAAAGACATCGGCCGCAAAAGAGGAAAGAATAGCCTGAGAGAAAAGAAGAAAACAGAGATTGTCATGTCACAGAAAACAAAGAGTGTTTCCAGAAGTCGTGGTATCAAAAGCAGCTGAGAAGTCACAAGTATGAAGAACAGTGGAAAATGACCGCGGGATTGAGCAGTTTGGAGACCTTGGTGGAGTGGTGGGGTCAGAAGCCAGGTTGGTGTAGGTTGAAAGAGGAATGAGAATGTCAGGACGCCAAAACAATTACTGAAGATTTTAGAAATCAAACTATAAAGTGGAGAGAGAAGGGTATATAAAAGCGGTGGGGTGGGGTGTGGTTGTTTATTTCTGTTCCTCATTTTTAAGACTGAGAAGAAGAGAGTATGTTTAAATGTTTCTGAAAAAGATGGAGTTAGAGGGTGAAATTGGCTGAAGAGCCTGAAAAGAGAGAAGAGAACGGGTAATGTGAGAATCTTGAGAGTTCGGGAATAGGTTGGATTCAGTGTGAGCCCAGAGGAACAGGCAGTCTGTGCTGTACAGGAAGGAAGGAGGAGAGGGCAGGTACAATGGGAGGAGCCAGAGAGTGGAGACCCAATGAATGATCTCCATTTGCTCAGTGAACTAAGGGGTAAAACTATCTGCTAGTGATGGGTCAGAAAGAGTAGGTGAAAGAGGTTTCAAAAGATTGAAAAAGATAGGGAATTGAGAAATGTAACAAACTGATGGCAGCTTGAAAGAAAGACCAGTAGAATTGGGTAACCTCAGAGATAGAGTGAAACCACTCTTCTTGATTCTGAGATTTTCTTCAGCCTTGTCCATGTGTCTACTCTCTGAGCGATGAAGTTCCCAGCCGCTTTAGTCTAGAGTTAGATTTAGACAGGTTGCCATGGAAATACTTGAGCAGAGGCTCAGAGGAATTTGGGGTGTTTTAAAGTAAGTGATTAAAAATAACATCTAAATATTGAACATACCACATATACAATTGCATAAATAAAACACTATCAAAATACCAGTGGTTTTTGACTGAAATAAATTGCTTGAATTTGGCAACGGTAGATAAGGGTTTTCCAGATACTTTAGTCATAAAAAACTTCTTCTACACAACGTTTGCATGTGTCCCAGAAAGAGCACTCAGGTGCAATTACTCTTATTTTACTCTGATTTACCAAAATACTATCCTGAAAGAATTATTTGTTCACAACTAACACCTAGAAACTTGCTTCACAAGGAGATTTTCAGAAAATTTTACTTTCAACCTTGCATTTTCCTCGTTAGAAATAAGTAGAATTTAATATTTAACAGTGGTGAGCCAGTACGTTTTTCAGATGATTCAAGTTCCCGAAATGCTCCATTCAATCACAAATAATCTGGCCTCATTACAAGAGAGAAAAAGGTAGACTAGCAAGACGCTTGAGGTTGGATGTATCAAGTTGCTTCTTTTCATGGCACAAATTTGGAAGGTGCTATGATGAATGCTCTTTACAAGATGCATGACCTCAGCAAGATACTTAACTTTCCAAACCTCAGTGTCTTCTTATGTAAAGTGAAAGCAACAGCAATCCTTACCTCATTATGTCACTGTGAGTATTAAAAGATAATTCTTGGTAATTTAGGAGCACAAGTGCCTGGTACAATATAAACTTTCAATAAATAGTGACCACTGTTATTGTTACTAAGATTTTCCACTTCGTATTTTCAAATTTAAAATATCATGTTTTAAAACTGGGGTTGTGTTTTACGAGTTTAATAAAATAAGCACCACTCTTGGAAAATATATTCTTTGACAAAATAAAGCTAGTCTCTTTACCTTTTCTTGTTTTTATTCGTAGCACTTATAATTATATGGCATGCATTTATCTCTTGATTCTTCCCAAGAAAGTATCAATTCTTCAGTATTAGGCACTTCGTTATGGTCACATCTATTTCACCAGTGAATAGAATAAAGTACATAATGTCAAAGAATTCACGGCTCTACCCCCTGTCTCCACGCATCTGTCAGTTTGTCAGACTGTGGTGGCTTGCATGTTGCTGTGGTGCTGGGAGCTAAGCCACCAGTATTTCAAGTACCAGTAGGGTCACCCATGGTGGACAGGTTTCAGCAGAGCTTCCAGACTAAGACACACTAGAAAGAAGACCTGGTGGTCTAATTCTGAAAATGTTAACCAATGAAAACCTTAGGAATAACACCAGAACATTATCTGATATAGTGCCGGAAGATGAGACCCTCAGATTGGAAGGCACTCAAAATATGTCTGGGGAAGAGCTGCTTCCTCAAAGTAGAGTCGACCTTAATGACATGGATAGAGTTAAGCTTTCGGGACTTTCATTTGCTGATGTGGCATGATTCAAAATGAGAAGAAACATCTGCAAATATCCATTAATAATTGGAATGTAGAATACAAGAAGTATGAATCTAGGAAAATTGAAAGTCCTCAAAAATGAAATGAAACACATAAACATTGATATCCTAGGCATTAACGAGCTAAAATGGGCTGGTACTGGCCATTTGGAATTAGACAATCATATGGTCTACTATGCCAGGAATAACAACTTGAAGAGGAATGGCATTGCATTCATCGTCAAAAAGAACATTTCAATATCTATCCTGAAGTACAATGCCGTCAGTGATAGGATAATATCCATACACCTACAATGAAGACCAGTTAATACAACTATTACTCAAGTTTATGCACCAACCACTAATGCCAAAGATGAAGAAATTGAAGATTTTTACCCACTTCTGCAGTCTGAAATTGATCAAACATGCAATAAAGATGCATTCAAAATCACCGGTGACTGGAATGTGAAAGTTGGAAACAAAGAAGAAGGAACAGTAGTTGGAAAATATGGCCTTGGTGATAGAAATGATGTTGGAGATCACATGATAGAATTTTGCAAGACCAATGACTTCTTCACTGCAAAAACATTTTTTCACCAACATAAATAGCGACTATACAAGTGGACCTTACCAGAAGGAATACACAGGAATCAAATTGACTACATCTGTGGAAACAGATGATGGAAAAGCTCAATATCGTCAGTCAGAACAAGGCCAGGGACCGACTACGGAACAGACCACCGATTGCTCATATGCAAGTTCAAGTTGAAGCAAAGAAAATTAGAGGAAGCTCATGAGAGCCAAAATACGACTTTGAGTATATCCCACCTGAATTCAGAGACCATCTCAGGAATAGATTTGACACATTGAACACTAATGACAGAAGACCAGACGAGTTGTGGGATGACATCAAGGACATATACACGAAGAAAGTAAGAGGCCATTAAAAAGACAGGAAAGAAAGAAAAGACCAAAATGGATGTCAGAAGAGATTCTGCAACTCGCTCTTGAACACAGAGTAGCTAAAGTGAAAGGAAGAAATGATGAAGTAAAAGAACTGAACAGAATATTTCAAAGGGCAACTCGAGAAGACAAAGTAAAGTATTATAATGACATGTGCAAAGACCTGAAGTTAGAAAGCCAAGAGGGAAGAACATGCTCAGCACTTCTCAAGCCGAAAACACTGAAAAGAAAATTCAAACCTTGAGTTGTGATATTGGAGGATTCTACTGGGAAAATATTGAATGTCTCAGGAAGCATCAAAAGAAGATGGAAGGAATACACAGAGTCACTGTACCAAAAAGAACTGGTTAATGTTCAACCGTTTCGGGAGGTAGCATATGATCAGAACTGATGATACTCAAGGAAGAAGCCCAGACTGCACTGAAGCCATTGGCAAAAAACAAGGCTCCAGGGACTGATGGAATACCACTTGAGATGTTTCAACAAATGGATGCAGCACTGGAGGTGCTCAGGCATCTACGCCAAGAAATTTGGAGGACAGCTACCTGGCCAACCGACTGGAAGAGACCTATATATGTGCCCGTTACAAAGAAAGGTGATCCAACAGGATGCAGAAATTACCAAACAATATCATTAATATCACACACAAGTAAAATTTTGCTAAAGATCATTCAAAAGTGGTTGCAGCAGTATGTTGACAGGGAACTACCAGAAATTCAAGCCAGATTCAGAAGAGGATGTGGAACAAGGGATATCATTGCTATCATTGCTGATGTCAGATGGATCGTGGCTGAAAGCAGAGAATACAAGAAAGATGTCTACTTGTGTTTTATTGACTATGCAAAGGCTTTCGACTGTGTGAATCATGACAGATTATGGATAACATTATGAAGAATGGGAATTCCAGAACACTTAATTGTGCTCATGCAGAACCTGTACATAGATCAAGAGCAGTCGTTCAAACAGAACAAGTGGATACTGCGTGGTTTAACATCAGGAAAGATGTGCATCAGGGTTGTGTCCTTTCACCATAATTATGTATGCTGAGCAAACAATCCAAGAAGCTGGACTCTGTGAGGAAGAATGCAACATCAAGACTGAGGAAGACTCGTTAACAACCTGTGATATGCAGATGATACAACCTTGCTTGGTGAAAGTGAACAGGACTTGAAGCACTTACTGATGAAGATCAAAGACTACAGCCTTCAGTATGGATTGCACCTTAACGTAAAGAAAACAAAAATCCTAACAACTGGACCAATAATCAACATCATGATAAATAGAGAAAATATTGACGTTGTCAATGACTGATTTCGTTTTACTTGGATCCACAATCAGTGCCCATGGAAGCAGCATTCAGGAAATCAAACGACGCATTGCATTGGGCAAATCTGCTGCAAAAGAATTCTTTAAAGGGATAAAAAGCAAAGATGTCACTTTAAGGTCTAAGGTACACCTGACCTAAGCACATACGCATGAGAAAGCTGGACAGTGAATAAAGAAGTCCAAAGAATTGATGCCTTGGAATTATGGTATTGGCGAAGAATACTGAAAATACCATGGACTGCCAGAAGAATGAACAAATCTGTCTTGGAAGAAGCACAGCCAGAGTGCTCCTTAGAAGGAAGAATGGCAAGACTTTGTCTCACATACTTTGGACATGTTGTCAGGGACACCAGTCCCTGGAGAAGGACTTCATCCTTGCTAAAATAGAAGGTCATCGAAAAAGAGGAAGACCCTCAATAAGATGGAGTCACACAGGGGCTGCAACAATGGGCTCAAGCACTGCAGGACCTGGCCGTGTTTGATTCTGTCGTACATAGGGTCACTATCATTTGGAACCAACTCGATGGCACCTAACAACAACAATCTAACAACATATCCCCAGTGCCTAGCACAGAGTTCAAAGGTACTCAGTAAATATTTGTTGAAATAAGGAATTAGTGGCATATACACATGTTTATATGTATAGGTATGTATTCCTCACTAATGTAACCTACTCTCCACAGTTCAACATCCAAGTGTTATTATTGTTATGTCCAGTAACAGTACAGTTTGTCCTTAGTCATGGTCTAGTGTATCACCACTAACTTGTGTCTTTCTTCTCTAGGCATGGAACGCAACTTGCAATAACTGGATGACTGCGAAGGCTGCCCTGGAAAAGTACTACCTTTCCGTTTTTTATTCGATCGAGTTTGTTGTGGGGATGCTTGGAAACACTGCTGTGGTTTTCGCCTACCTCTTCTGCCTGAAGAACTGGAAAAGCAGCAACATCTATCTCTTTAACCTCTCTATCTCTGACCTGGTTTTTTTGTGCACCCTTCCAATGCTGATAAGAAGTTACGCCAGTGAAGAATGGGTCTATGGGAACATACTCTGCAAAAGTAACCGATACATGCTGCATGCCAACCTCTACACCAGCATTCTTTTCCTCGCTTTCATCAGCATCGATCGATACCTGATGATGAAGCATCCTTTCAGGCAACACCTTATGCAAAAGAAGGGGTTTGCCATTTCAATCTCCTTAGCCATTTGGGTTTTGGTAACCTTAGAGCTACTGCCCATGTTTGTCTTTATAAGTCCTTCTGAAACTGCCAATAGCACCACATGTGAAGATTATGCAAGTTCCGGGGACCCCCGATACAGCCTCATCTTCAGCTTGTGTCTGACATTCACGGGGTTCCTCATTCCTCTTTCTGTGATGTGTTTCTTTTATTTCAAGATTGCTCTCTTCCTGAAGCACAGGAGCAGGCAGCTTGCGACCACACTGCCCCTTGAAAGGCCTCTCCGCTTAGTTGTCATGGCGGTGATCATCTTCTCGGTGCTTTTCACTCCCTACCACATCATGAGGAACGTGAGGATTGCCTCGCGGCTGGAAAGCTGGCATTGCTCCGAGTGCACTAAGGACATCATCAGTACCTTATACATTGTCACCCGCCCTTTGGCCTTCCTGAACAGTGCCATCAACCCTGTCTTCTATTTCCTCATGGGAGATCACTTCAGGGAGATGTTGATAACTACACTGAGACACCAATTCAAGTTCCTGACAACCTTTAGAAGATGAACTCCTGGACTGATGTTTTCATTCAGACAAAAGTTGCTGCTTGTGGAACAGATTGCTTTACACGTGCATCTGTAAGCCAGTTTGAGTCTGATTGAACTCATAAACAGATCAGAGAGGACCAAGAATTTGTCCCTGATTTGAAGATATACATCCAGAATATGTGAAAAGAAGGGGATGAGAAGAATTTATCCCTTTTTTCACCTAAGATTGGAAGGAGTCGGACTAGCAATGTCTAATATTCAGGCATGGAAGTCCAAAATCCTAGGCCTTATAAGACCTTCTCAGCTAATATAAAAGGAGAAGAAGATAGAAAAATCAGCAAGTTGCTTGCATTTAATCATTGATCAGTTTGTAAAAAAAAAAAAAACAAAGAAAAAGTGTTGTCAATATTCTCTGCATTCTTCATATTCATATGATCCTGAAATTTTATGAAAAACTAAACGAGAGAAAAGTAGACATACACTATTAAATGTTGTGGTTAGAATTTTGCTATTGAGTGAACTTAAAGAGTTACAACAATGAGCCGGAAAGAAATAGAACTAGTTCAATGATGTCTATGCAATGTTTCTTTATATTACTCATGAATTGGGTTCAGTTTGTAATTTATCATGCCTTCCTTGTTGTATGGTTTATAGTGGAAAGAATTGTATTAAATAAAACTTAAAGAGATAATTCAACAGAGGGAGAGAAATATTTGCACTTGACTCTCAGGGAATTTAGGTATAAACCATTTTATAAAAATCCTGGACGGAGTCTGTGGGTGGCACATATGGTTAAGCACTTGACCACTAACCTAAAGCTTCGTGGTTCTAACCCACCCAGAGGTGCCTTCGAAGAAAGGCCAGGTAATCTGCTTCTGAAAGGTCATAGCTCTGAAAACCCTATGGAGCAGTTCTACTCTGCACACATGGGGTCCTCCTGAGTCAGCATTGACTCAAAAGCAATGGGTTTGAAGCCATATTTAAAAAAAAAAAAAAAAAAAATCCTGAACAGAGATGCCAAGAATAGTTGCAAAAATGTCAGATTTAGAGAACACAAACGAGTCTGTCACGAGACCCGAACAAAACAGAACGTAAGTATGCTGATTTTAAGAGGATGGTGCCATCTGGCATTTTATTTTCACAGTTTGCTCACTAGTTACTGGAAATATATTAAAGTTCATTAGCCTTGCTGCTCTTGATTAAATAAACTTTAAAATACGTTAAGATCATAAAACCAGAAAATAAGAGGAGATTAAATGGTAATACCAGAATTCGTTGGGTTAATTTTCTCTTTTCCAAGGAAAGTCAGTTTTTATTCCCCCCCCCCTTTTTTTTTTAAAACCCTGTGATAACTTACAAGGACAACTTCATCTGTGAGAGAATGACTCATATCTGAAGTGAGCTTGTTTTCATAGAACATTATATGAGACCATTGACGGGAGGAATGTTCTCAACAAAATGCACTTTTTGAAACTGCAGAATAGAAGGAATATTTATGTGCATAAAAGATAGAGTCTCCCAGAAGGGTTAGTCAGGCACAAAACAGATTTAGGAGAAGAAAAACAAGAAAGGAAAGTTGGGTGTTGCGTTAGCCTTTTAAGGCTAAATGAATATTACATAACAATTCATCTATTTGTATGCAACAACATGTGTCCATAGTCAAATGTGTATGTTACTTCCCTTGATGTCTTTAGTCATAGGCATGAGGACTGTTAGGATAAGATAAGCATTATGAGGGCAGAGACATAATATCCTTTTGTCCTTCCTGTGCTGAGATACTCTGGTGGTATTACATTCTGAGACTTTAAATACCGCAAATATTCCAAATCAATGCTTCCAGATTGCAAGTAACTGAAATATGAGAAAAGCATATTACTCACAAAGGATTTATTTTCTTTCTTGGAACAAGGCTTTAAAATATTCTTGTCATACCTTGCCTTTTATGTCACCGTTTAAAAAGAATCCAATGTAATTTTATAACTGCCTTGCAATGGACTGAAAACAGAATCTCTTGAATTTACTCATTAGAAGAGGCCACAGAAAAGGATTTAGCAAAGAAGTGTTTGACTGTTTCTGCAAATTTAAGAACATGTAACTTAATTTTAATTTGTATTTTATGAAGCGTTTTTAATTTGTGAAGATGAACTTTAATTTGTACCCCCTGCCCCCAAGCGGTGGCAGAGGTGGACTCTTTCTAATAGTGCAGTGAAAGATTTCATCAAACCATAAACTCTCACATATATCTTGCAACGAAAAACTCAGGTAATTTCATAGCATATTTCTTAGTTCTTTTCTTGCTCACATCTGTCATGTGATAATTTTTAACAGACTATAGACATAGTTCACGTGTCTAGTATAAGAGCTATTGCATTTGTTTTCTGTCCTAGGTGATGTAAGACTCACAAACAATAAAGAATAGAAATCCTCTCTGGGTTTGTGATTTTTCAGGAAAATAACACTGGGATTTCGGTCTTATCTCTTAATTGGGTCCCTAGTGCTTTCAGAAGGAAACCTAAACTATTAGGTTTAGCATTGAAAGCCTACTGCAATCTGGGCCCACCCATTCTTCTTAATTTATCTCCCATCACTCTTGTCACAATCGTACCTTCCTGTCAAAGAGAGTGACTTCATTTTCAGTATATCCCAAACATTCTTCATTCTGTGCCTTCATTCATCTGGATGCTTGCCTCTTTTCCATCATGCCCACAGGCATAAAGTCTAAGCATCTTTCCATGTGTATCTCATCTGTCACTCCATAAAGCCTTCCCTTATAACTTCCCCTCCTAAAACATGGAAGTAAAACTTTCCACTTCTAGAACTTCAGACTACTTCAAAGTTTGTTTGGTTGTTAATGCATTCGTTTTAATCTTGTATTTATAGTTGTTAACTTAAAAATGAACTTTCAGGTCTCTGAGTTGAAAAGCTATATCAATTTTTTTTTTCTTCATAAACCAGTCGCTATCTAGTTGATTCTGACTAACAGTGACCCTATGGGACAGAGTAGAACTGCCCCATAGGGTTTCCAAGGAGTGGCTGGTGGATTCGAACTGCTGACATTTTGGTTAGAGCCAAGCTCTTTAACCACTGCACCACCAGGGACCTCCTTTGTCTTCATGTTGTTAGGAGAGGTTGAGAAGGTTCCGACTCATAGCCACCCTATGTACAACACTGCCTGGTCCCGCACCATCCTCACAATCATTATTATGCTTAAGCCGATCGTTGCAGCCGCTATCAATCCATCTTGTTGAGGGTCTTCCTCTTTTTCACTGACCCTCTGCTTTACCAAGCATGATGTCCTTCTCTAGGGAGTGGTCCCTCCCGATAACAAGTTGAAAGTATGTGAGACGAAGTCTCGCCACCCTTGCTTCTAAGGAGCATTCTGGCTATTCTTCTTCCAAGACAGATTTGTTCTTTCTTCTGGCAGTCCATGGTATAATCAATATTCTTCACCAACACCGTTATTCAAAGGCATCAATTCTTCCTCGGTCTTCCTTATTCATTGTCCAGCTTTCGCATGCATATTAGGTGATTGAAAATACCATGGCCTGGGTCAGGCACACCTTAGTCTTCAAAGTGAAATCTTTGTCTTCACAGCACCTAGTAAAACTCAAAACCCTACTACATCAAGTCAATTCCAACCCACAGTGACCCCATAGGGTTTCCAAGGCTGTAAATCTCTACAAAAGCAGCCTGCCACATCTTTCTCCCTCGGAGCCCCAGGTGGTTTTGAACTGACGACCTTTTCCATTAGCAGTTGATCACTTTAACAGCTGTGCCACCAGGGCTCCTTAGCATCTAGTAAGGTGCTCTTTAAATGATTATGTATTATGAATAAATATCTTACAGAACAAATATGAATTCATTGCTTATTTTGAGCATACATAATCAAGCTATTTTCTGCTACCACTACTTTAAAAAGTAATATTATTTTCTATAATGGAGTGTATGTATATAAATACATGTGTTAACTGTCATTGCCCCAATCCTCGTATTTTTCTCATAACTTTGAGTATAGTTATAATGGATGCTTAAAGTTCTTGTCTGCTAGTTCCAAATCTAAGTCATCTCAGAGCTGATCTCCACTAGTTGCCTTTTTTCATAAGTATGGATCACATTTTCCTGTTCCTTCATACGTCCAATAAGTTTCTGTTGTATTCTTGACATTATGAATAATATGTTATTGACACTCTGAATTCTGATATGTTCCACCAGAGAGTACTGATCTTTTGTTTCATGGCTGAACTCAAACTCCAAGCTCTACAATCTCAGTTCAGTTCTTCTTGCCATAGTTGGGCTGCGTGAAGTCTACCCCGCACATCCACAGACCGACCAGAAGTCAGCCAGAGAGTTGAGCAGAGTTTACACACAAGATGTGGAGTGCCTTCTTTGTGTGGTTCTCTTGTTTCCCAAGATTTTTCCCCTTCACTTTTCAGTTGCTGTATCTACCCTGAACTAGTCCTTTGTGTCTTCATTCCAGAGAGCCTTCAGGTTTCTCTCTGGATTTTAGTAACCTTTAATGGCCTGACAGGGACCTGCACCCCTACTAAAATCCGTTTAAAAAATAAATGAGAATGCCACCCAGTGCTTTTACTTCTTCCAAGTAACAGATTCCGTCCTGTCTGTGCCTTCTTTCTGTCACTCTTCAGTGATTTCAGGTTGTTGGTTTTTGACATGCTACTATAGTTTAAGGTTGTTATTTACAGGACGTGTGGTTCAATAGAAATTACTAGGCCATTACCAGCAGCAGAGCCTCTTTCTCCTTAGAAGTAAATAAACTTAGGCAGTAGTGCACTCTATATTCTCTAATAGTTTAAATTCCCACCCAAATTTTCTAAAAATACTTTAAGTGCTTACTTGCCCATCTTTTACCTCTAGCTTCTACATTCGTTCATGCTGTCTCTCTTTTCCCTCGTATTAGTCTAGATTTTGGAATCCTAGTGGTGCAGTGGTTAAGTGCTATGGCGAGCTAAGGCTGCTAACCAGAAGGTTGGCAGTTCAAATCCACCAGCTGCTCCTTGGAAGCCCTATGGGGCAGTTCTGCTCTGTCCTATAGGGTTGCTATGAGTTGGAATTGACTCGACCACAACGAGTTTGGTTATTTTGGTTTTAGTATAGATTTTAATCCACTCTCTGCAATAATTTCCAACAAAAGATGCAGTTAAAAAACACACACACAATTATTTTACTGAAGACAAACATCATTCACAGCTCATTATCCTGCTCCTGGTTTTCACTCCTTCCTCAGCCTAAGCCCCACTCCTTGTTTCATGAAGAGCAGTTTTGCCCTACTCTGAGATCTTGGCACCGAAAATATTTGCCTACCTCAGTAGTTTTACCAAGGAATTTTTTTTACAAGTAGACTTCTCCCTAAGAGAAATTCTTAGATCTACTCCTAAGGAGATTAGAATT